ACTGTCACAGGCTTCAGCATCACAGTAGCCACGAGTTACCTCTGTACAGCAACGCACAGACCAATGCTATACCATACAGTTAGATAGAATAGACTATTTCACAACAGCAACACTCAAGAGTTTCACCATAGTACTTGTTCCTTCTTCCAAATTATCCCAAGGGTTATTTGATGTGGACCCAGAATTTCATCTGTACTGCCACAAAATTTGCATAATAGAAGACAAAAGTTATATTATCAATTTCACAGCTTATATAAAATAGATTTGACCACCTATCCTCTAAATATATATATATATATATATTCTAGAGAGAAGGCAAAATGTTTAGGTTTGCAAGCCTTTTGGTGTAGGCAAATATCTCTTGGTGAAATAAGACTAGACTCCACAGATTTAATACTCTAGATTGTGAGTAAATAGCTCTGGTGCAATGTTCATTCTCTAATACTGAGGGAAAGTTGTCACTTAATGCAGCCCAGGTTGTCACATATTTATTTTTTTCCTTCTCAGAAAAGCTTCCTTATGTCGGAAGATGTAAATATCTATGGACTATTGAATCCTCCTAGGATTCAATTCACAGGAGCAAATGAGAACAGAAAAGAAGCCTGTATGTTGGGGGCAATAAGAGAGGAAGAAGATGAGATATTTAGAGCTGCAGGTTTCTTGATAAAAAAATGGGTGTTTGCAGATGATCTTAGCTGTAGTATCAGCTTCAACTCCTGATCATCCTGTGCACTGCAGAGAAATACTGCTTATTTTTGTACAATCTTCATTGTTACTGGTAGACTTGAGTCTAGTGTTATAGTCACTATGTCTCCCAAACTAGTAATTGTAATCTGTAGAGTTTTTGTTAGTTAATTTTTGGAAACAGATTTCCAGGCTTTGTTCCCAATCTGTATTAGTCTAGAAGTTCATGGATCCTCAGAAGCGATGTTATTAAGAAACGGTGATTTTTTTCCTTTTTTTTTTTTTTGCCTTGTTTCCAGGATGAAAACGGGAAAAGATTGTCAGATGAGGATATCCACGCAGAGGTTGAAACCTTCATGTTTGGGGGTAAGGGCAACAAAATGGAATTTCACTGAGTGCAGAGGGTGGCTGTCTGTCTCCTTCTCAGGGTCTTTAAAGATGAAATGATCATAAATCTATTCCACTATGCCTCACCTCTCCCATCTTCCATAAGGACCTTAATAACAGGAGGCTGTCCACACTCTGGTGCTGAAGCAGTCAGTGACCTGAGGTTACCATTTGCCCCCTCAGGTCATGATACCACAGCCAGTGGCCTCTCCTGGGTCCTGTACAACCTTGCCAAACACCCCGAATATCAGGAACGTTGCCGTAAGGAGGTACAGGAACTCCTGAAAGACCGTGGGTCAGAGGAGATTGAATGGTGAGTACAGGCTTTCACAACTTATGTCTTGAGCCCCCTTCTCTTGGATCTACAGGGGGAAAGGAAAGATATTTCTGGACATGCTTCCTGGGTTTGTTTATTGGGGGTTTTTTAGCGAGAATAGAAACAGAGGTAAGAATCGGGGTATAGTTGCTAGCCTGGTGGTTTTTATTGTTGTTAGGTGCAATCATAGCAACAGTATGACCATCAGGTCTGAATTCTGTCTTATCCTATGACTGTCCCATTATTTATGACATATTTGAGCACATTGCTGCAGTCACTGTGTTGATCCATTTGTCTGAAGATTTTCCTCTCTTTCCAAGCACGATGTCCTTTTCTAAAGAACAGTCTCTCCTAATAATATGCCCAAAGTATGTGAGACAAAGCCTTGCTGTCTTTGCTTCCAAGAAGCACACTGGCTGTACTTTGTCCAAGAAATCTCTTCATTCTTCTGACAGTCCATAGGCTATTCAGTGCTCTTCCCCAACACCACAGGTCAAAGGCATCAATTCTTCTGTCATCATTACTTATTATCAGTGATTAGATGCACAGCAAGTGATTAGATGACCTTGGGCTTCAAACTGACGTCATTGCTCTACTGTAATTTGGAGAGGTCCTAGACTGTAGACAGGCATTATGCAGATGACACAACCACACTAGCTGAAAATGAGGAGGACTTGAAGTGTTTGCTGTAGAAGATCAAAGACTACAACATTCAATATGGATTGCATCTCAACATCAAGAAAACAAAATTTTCACCACTGGCAACATCATGATAGATGGAGAAAAGATTGAAATTGTCAGTAGTGTCATCTTACTTGGATCAACAATCAACAACCTTGGTACAGCAGTCAGATCAGGAGACATATTACATTAGGAAATGCCACAGTCAGGGACCTAGTGTGGTTAGTAGGATAAAGGTACCATTATTCTTTTTATGACAGCTCTGTAGTAGGTCTTACATCTGGTATAATTAGAGTCCTCTCTTTCATGATTTCTCTATTCTCCAGAACAATTCTAAAATAAGTTTGTCAAGTTTAACAAAATAAGCTATATCTTCATTTGCATATAATACATGCTTGTCTTATGGAACATGGAACATTTGGGGGTTATATTAACATATACTTTCCAAGAATATAGAAAGGTTACATTTTTTTTTGTTGTTAGGTGCCATCAAGTCAAATATGACTCATGGGATTCTATGAACAAAAAATCTGAACCCTGTTCTATTCTGTTACTAAAAAATATCCTATCAGCTTTTAAAGGAGTAGAACGTGTATAAGGATCCAAGAAGGGTAGGGAAAGGTTGGAAGCAGAGGGATGAGGATATGCAGGGGCATGGGGGGAATTAATCATGGGTTTGTACGAATTGATGGGGGTGGTGAGGAAAATTGAAAGAATTTGTTCTTGAAAACAATATATTTGAATTTTGTAAACAAACTAGTAGACAATTTTAAAAAAGGAGTAAACAGTGTCTGCTTCAAGATGTTATACATACTTTGCTAAAAGAACTCTTTGATACTTTTGTTACTGTACGAAATAGTATCTTCTATTGATACTTCATTTATATCAAGTGAGATATTTGAGTTCATTTGGAATCACACTTTCCATATTTATTGTTAAATTCATGCAGAAAAGCTACAAAAATATTGCATTACACCTTCCACGCCACCTCAGCACTTACCCAATATGACTTTTCTGATGCTTAATCACTTTTTCTGAAATTTCTACGTGGTGAGAACATTCATTAGAAAGTGTCACTCATTTCAGCAAGTTCCCCATTTACAACTCAGTAACACAGATTACATTCTTCAATCTACATGACCATTCTTAGTATTTTTTTTTTCTGAACCACATCACAATTCTAACCTCAGGTTTCCATAAGCAATAAACTACACCTCTCTCCCCTCCTCCAGTGTCTCTGGTAACCACTGATAAGCTTTGGTTTCCACATGTTTGCTTTTTTCCCTGTGAGACCATATAGTATTTGTCCTTTTGTGACTGATCAATTTTACTCAGCATAACATTTGGGTCTATCCAAGCACCAGAACTTAATTTCTTTTGATTCCTTTGTGTACATATATCACATTGTTTACAGTTCATCTAATGCTTAGTGTCTGATATATTTGAAACTTATTGTTATGGGGAGTGAAGGTCAGAAGGGGTGGTACAATAACAGTAGGGGACTGGAAAGTAGTCGTTGCTCCCAAATTAATTTCTCTAGAGTTTATTTTTAGGGATGACCTGGCCCAGCTGCCCTTCCTGACAATGTGCATCAAGGAGAGTATGCGGTTGTATCCCCCAGTCACGACCATCTTCCGCTGCTGTACCCAGGACACAGTGCTTCCAGATGGCCGGGTCATCCCCAAAGGTGCCCACAATGGCAAGGGAGAGGTACTGGGCAGGAAGAGGGCTTATTGGGTGGCATGGCTATCTGACTGTCCATTCTCCCACAGACACCAACTGCCTCATCACCATCTTTGGGACTCATCATAACCCCTCTATTTGGCCAGACCCTGAGGTACTGTCTTTTCCCACCCATCCTTATTGACCATAGGAAGGTGAAGAATGGGCAGGAAATGCTGGGGCTGTCCTAGGAGATCCCATACTGCAGCTCTTTCTCTCCCACCCCACCTCCAGGTCTATGATCCCTTCCGCTTCAACTTAGAAAACTCTCAGAAAATGTCACCACTGGCTTTTATTCCCTTCTCTTTCGGGCCCAGGTGAGACTTGCAGATGACTGAGATGGACTGGGTGAAGAGAGGGGTCTGGGCCTTTGCTAGGCCTGACCACAGTGGGACCACAGCGGGAGTAGTTTCAGGTGGTCCAATTTGCATCCCCCTTCTCTGCTCTTCTCTGGAGCTTTGGACAAAGAATCTAAGGAATCTGGAAGGTGAGATACAAGGAAGGGTAACTGGTTGCACAGAGTCCCTTCCCTGCCTATTAAGTTAATAATTGGACAGTCAACTAAGCTCAAGGGACACAGAAGGCCTCCAAAGAGTCTCGAATTTGGTCAGCCTTCCTTTTTATTTGCCCTTCATGCTGAGTAGGGTTGAGGGTTGGATCCCAGCTAGGGTTCCAGACATTTTGAACACTAAATGAATGTCTGGCATATAATCAGACCGTTGTCCTGCTCTCAGGAATTGCATTGGACAAAAGTTTGCCATGGCTGAGATGAAGGTGATCCTGGCTCTCACATTGCTGCGTTTTCGCATCCTGCCTGATGACAAAGAACCACAGAGGAAGCCGGAGATTGTCTTACATGCTAAGGGTGGGCTGTGGTTGCGAGTGGAACCACTGGCTAATGGCCTGCAGTTGTCTCCAGCCTCTTAGACCCACCCAATTCACCCACCTATTTTAGCAGAATCTCAGAAATAAAATTCTATTGTCACCTCTGCCTGAGCATCCATTGGGAGCTTCCCTCTGCCTGAGCTTCCCATGGGGGGTGGGGGGAACCTCAGGCATCTGGGCTGGCAATGGCTGGTTGGCGATCTGGTTGATCTTTCTGAATCCAAGACCTCAGACACTGCCCACAGGTTCCCCTAGACTATCTTAATGATGTAATAAATCCAAGGATAATAGAAAGCACTAAGAGGTATTTGAGCAGTAGAGGGACGAAAATTGAAGGTAGACTTAAGGCATAAAATTGAAGCCTTGTATCACTGAGGGATACCTAAAGTGCCCTCTCCTCTAAGCTATGGGTCTACTCCAAGAAGAAGGCCCTTGGCTACTCAGAACACCAAGAAAAGGGGTTCATACAGCCCATACCCAGGCAAACTATCCAGAACTCTTAGTTCCCTCCCTGCCGTTGTCAATGACCAACTTCTTGCTAGCTCTACCCATCCCAGTGGGTATGGGCCAAAAATGGCTCTTCCTTCAGGAACACCCCTTCTTTTGCCTTTAGGCCTCTGGTTGCCGTGCCACCTAGTAAACAGATATGGCCTGAGTTCCATCATATGACAGATAACTGCCATGAGAGAGTCAGAAGGAGGCTCATCTCATCCGTCACATTCAGATTGCTCCTTCCATCCAGCCTCAGGCTCAGAGGACCAGATTCATCTTATTTTGAGTTAATAGAAACAGGACGTCTTAATATCCAAAGCAATTCTAACATAGGAAATAAAAGACCACAAGAATGTGGACCTGTAGAATCAGACTCCTTAGATTCAAGTGAACTCTCATCTCTGTATCTGTTTCTTTCCCTATATAATGAGGATAAAAGGAGTATCTTCCACAGGCTTTTACTGGGGACTGAGTGTGAAGGACTTAGAGCTGTGCTTTGCGCTCAGTAAATGCTGCAAGAGGGGTTTCTTAGAGGGGTTTCTTGACCTCCAAAAGCCTGCTGCTTGCAAGACAAAACATGTTTGTTGATTTTCATGATTATTATCTCTGCCACAAGTTTCAGAGTGTAACAGGACTTCAAAAGGAAAAATTTGAAGCTCGGTGCTCATTTTATCAGTTCTTCTCCCTGTAGTGCATGCAGAACATTTGTTGTTCCTGGGACAGTGGAGCACCTGGAGATGCAACAGCTAAGGACATCTGGGAAACAACAGATAATATCTCAAAATAAGAACCTGCTACAAATATTGATATCACATTATAGCCTAAGGAATTCAGCACCACTGAATCCCCCCCCCCTTGCTCCACTCCAGTATATATTGTGGTTGTTGTTGTTGTTAGGTGCTGTCGAGTCACTTGTGACTCATAGTGACCCTATGTACAAGAGCCTTAAACCCTGCTCTATCCCTTGCCAATCTCATTGTCTCTGATATGCCTATCCTCATTACCCCAGTGACAGAATCAGTCCATCTCATCAAAGGTCTTCCTCTCCTGTGCTGTCTCTCCACTCTCCCAGGCAT